GTCGGGCTAAAGCTTTACTTGGGCCTATTCTTGCTCGGGCTCGCTCTCGATATGGGTCGAGCATCCTCCTGCGCACTTTCGTGGGCGACACGGTGGTCCGAGCTGAAGGCACTGAGAAGCGAGTTGGCGAGATTCTGATTGATGCTGGGTCTTCTCTTGGAGCGGAGTTCAAGGCGGCGGGTTTGACGATGGGCCCCAAGACGAACGTTGTTGCGTCCTCTTCGAAGTTGGCTGCACATATTGCGCCTGGTCTTCAGCGTGCCGGTGCCCCCGCCGAAGCTGTTCGACATGCTGTCGACTTGGGGGCGGGCACCTCGGCGGGGAGGTGCCGCTCGAGGCACGAGGCCAGGGGCCGCTTCACCAACGCCAAGAAGCGCTCCCAGGCCATCAAGCGCACGCGTCGGCACGCCCGCCTGCGCGCCAACACCCGCTCCCTGTGGTCTATGCGTGCGAAGCCGCAGGGCTCCTATTCGCACCAGACCTTCGGAGTCCCAGGCTACGAGTTGGCGCTGCTACGGAGGCAGGCCGCTCAGTCTGCATTTGGGACTGGACCAAGCAAGTGCTTGACGACGTCACTTGCGGCTGTGTGCGATCGGCGGGACCCTGCTAAGAGTATCCGTCGTGAGCAGATATTGGCTGGGCTCAAGATATGGCGCGAATGCCTGACCTTCATCATCGAGTGGCAAGGACTTGGGAGTGCGTCCGTTCACGTCTCCGTTTTGCGGGCTCTCGGCGATGGAGGGTTGTCAAGGGGCCCATCGCGTCGACGATCGCCACCCTGCTGGACGTCGGCTGGGGCCCGCGCAGCCCCATGGAGTGGATTTCAGACCAGGATTTGCCGTGGCGTGTTCCTTCGTTTGTGGATGCCGAGTTCGACTATTTCCACGGCGACTTCACAAACATCCTAGACGACACTGAGGACTCCGTGGGCCGCCAGCTCTGGGCCACGGCCTCGTTGCACGATGCTGGCGCTGTCCTCCGCGACGGCGCTGACGGGTACTGGGTCTGCCGCGAGTTCCGCGGGCTCGAACAGCCCGACGGCGATATTGACCACTGGGCGCTGAACGCCGTGGTCGTGGCTGGCGGGCAGTGGCCCCGTGAGCGCCAGCGCGCCGCGGGCTATGCCCTCTCACCCACGTGTCAGCGCTGTCTCGAAGAGCCTGAGGACCTGTTCCATCGGGTTTGGAGCTGCGAGGCCAACAGAGGCCACGCAGATTTTGATGATAGCGTGCACCTCATCGAGCTGGCTCGTGTGAGCAGTACAATTGCCCCAGTTTCTGGTTGCGTGGAGTCCCTGGCCGAGCTGAAACGGTCTCCAGGTTCGAAACCGCCCACCCGCCTGTCTTTTGGTTCCCTTGATGCCGCCCCCCGCCATGCCGAAGGTTACGTCACCTTGTTCGGGGATGGGTCGGGTGGGAGGTTCTCGGACGACCCTCGGCGTCGACGGGTCGGCACTGGGCTCATCGGCTTGGCTCCTTCTGGCGAGTTTTGGGAGCCTGTCTGGGGGCATTGGTTGTTCGATCGAGGGCCGAAGGCAAACTGTGCCTGGAGCGGAGACACCGGCGCTGGCGGAGGCTTTGGAGGCCACGGTCGGGGGCCTCCGTTGTGATACTGATCATCGCCCTCTGCTGGACTCCTGGGCCACAGGTCTCGGCCCGTGCCTGGCGCCTGAGAGCGGTCAAAACCTCGACCTTTGGGTCAGGATCCAGAAGGCGGGGGAGGCTCGTGGCCCTGGCGCTGTTGAGCCGATTTGGGCCCCGTCTCATCAAAGAAATAGGACCTCTCTCCGTCAGGACGCGTTTCTAGCTTTCGGCACTGAGTGTACCGGCGCCCTGGCGGCTGAAGCGGCTGAGCGGGCCTGGGCTGAATTCGTGATTGCCCCCCTCCCCCTCGCGGACCGTCGCGACGCGGGGGCCGCCCTTGTGCGGAGGGGAGCGGGGCGTGCCCTGGCTGCGAGTATCCAGGCCGACCCATGGACCTCCGAGCGTCCCGACCGTGAGGGGGCCCCTCCCCTCCCCAAGCTAGTGCAGGCTTTGCAGTCGTCCGAGCACTGTTGGGGTCGCGCTGGTGCCAAGTAGTTCTGCCGCAGGTGTGACCTGTTCTCGAATCAGGATTCGATGTTTCAGATGTGTGCTGCGCGTTGTGGTTCGCAGAGCTCCTCCGACTTTTCGCCGCTTCGGGGTCCCCAGGTAGTTGGGGGAAAGGAGCTCCACGGGTCTCAAACGCTGCAGTATTGGAGAATGTATAAGCTCACGTTCTGCTCGGTCTGCGGCAAGAATTGTACCACAGACCCCGGCAACAGACTGAGATGTGCGAGCCGTCCCCGAAGGGACGGCAAAATCTTGCCAAAATTCGAGCTGGCAAGTTTCCCCACCCGTCTGGGCCTCCAAAAGCTGTCTGGCATGCTGAGTCTCAGGGGCTCCTGAATTCACCCCGTATGCAGAAGCCATCGTGCAGTTTCTGTTCGTACTGTGTTTGATATTCGTGTGGCCTCGCCTTTCCGAATCCTAGACTTCTGCTGCCTTCATCCTGAACGGTCCTGAAACATCCTTCTCCTCTTCCCCCTCCTCCACCCCCCCCCCTCCTCCTCCTCCTCCTCGTCGTCCTCCTCCTCTCGTCCTCCTCGTCCTCCTCGTCCTCCTCGTCCTCCTCGTCCTCCTCGTCCTCCTCGTCCTCCTCGTCCTCCTCGTCCTCCTCGTCCTCCTCGTCCTCCTCGTCCTCCCTCCTCCTCCTCCTCCTCCTCCTCCTCCTCCTCCTCCTCCTCCTCCTCCTCTCCTCCTCCTCCTCCTCCTCCTCCTCCTCGTCCTCCTCCTCCCTCCTCCTCCTCTCCTCCTCGTCCTCCTCGTCCTCCTCCCTCCTCCTCCTCCTCCTCCTCCTCCTCCTCCTCCTCCTTCCTCCTCCTCCTCCCCTTCTCCTCCCCTCCTCCTCCTCCTCCTCCTCCTCCTCCTCCTCCTCCTCCTCGTTCTTCTCCTCCTCCTCCTCCTTCTCCTCCTCCTCCTCCTCCTCGTTCTCCTCCTCCTCCTCCTGCGACACAGATTGACGAACAGCTGGGTTAGTGTGACCTACCCCAAACTACTCCCACGCCGCGTGCGGGAGCGAGCCCACTTGCGGCCAGGTCCGAAGGACCAACGAAGGACGCGCGCGCCTGCCCCCTGAGGCGGGGTGCATGACAGGCGTGCAACGCAACGCGCGCGCCCCGCACGAACGGAACGGCCACGCACGCAGACCCAGTCAGAACCTGCCTTGGGCAGCCATCCTGGGAGAGCAACAGTCATGGCTCAGAAACTTCGGGCACAAAATCCGACAGGGAGACGGAGACCCAGGAGCCCCTGAGCAGAAGCTTGCCCTTCGCAAGGCCCTTCAGAATCCTGGATCCCCAAATCGAGGGGAGCCCCACACTCCCGACCGAGCTTGATGGCCCGAGTCGAGGAGAGAGCACCACAGCCCAGACAGATGACTCCATTCAGGTCATGCGAAGACCGCCTCCTGAGCCTATGGCACGCCGGGACAACCACCCTACCAGAGGGCCTAGGCTCGGGAGGCGGCGGCGGCGGGGCGGCGGTGGCTACAGCAGCACGGGAGGCCTCGCGCTTGGCCCGCGCCTGGCGGAGCTCGCTGCTGCCCAACCGCTCCGTGTTCATGGCGGCCTGGCTTCATGACCTGCCTATCTGGATGCCCATAGCACGGACCGCCACGCAGAAACCTTGGTGCCGGACACGATACGCCTTATCAGCACGCCACGCACCAGCTATCTTCTTCGCCCACAGATCGGCCAACGCGTTTCCAGCCAGGATCCTGGGCGAGATGGCGGCGCGCATACTTGGGGTGGGGTGGGCTTTGGAAAACTGCACACCCAGAGGACCCAACCCACCCCAATCATCTATCTTCTACCAGACGGCAGCCCAAATGTCAGCATGCGCGCTGGCATGGGCAGTAGTCGCCACTGGTCCTCGGAGGATCCCAGCGACGACGAAACTAGAGTCACTGTGCACTGTGATCGTGGGCACGGCTACTTGCAGAGTGCGAAGGACTGCGACAAGCTCAGCGCGATCGACGCACTGAATCGGTCCCTCCACCCCACCTCCAAAAATGGCCAGCGGCCTGAAATCACGCAGACGGCGCGGTGGTGGTGGGTCGGGGCAGAGAACCACCACTGCCCACGCAGTGACCGCATCGTTGGGAATCTGTTCGTCTTGCAGCGAGCCATATACAAAAAGATCGCCAGCGAGGTAGTGCCTCTCACCCAGAAAAATTTGCTCAGGCGCGACCTCGGCCGAGGCTGGGGATCGGTCCCAGGGCGCCAAACAACGGCTGCCGAACAGAGACACAAGAGCTGTGGGATCTCGAGGGAGGGCATGTTTCAGGGCACCCTGTGGCTGAGTGCCAGCCGAGACGAGACTGTCGCAGGCCACATGCCTGTGATACAGGGCTCCCGCCTCCTCCGTACAGATCTGACAAAGCGGAGATGAAACGAAATCTGCAACGCAAAACCTCTCCTGCGTCCACCGGGTACCGACCAACCACCGACCGAAGACACGACTACTGTTCCGGCGCACGGGGCGAAGAGCGGCCGGGCAGCTCGAGGATTGGCTCTACGGGAACGCCTTTCTCGAGCTCGGGGGTCTCGAGCGTAGCAGCTACTTGCTTCCACTGCCACAGCTCACGGGCTCGACAAATTAGCTGCTTCAGACCGTGCACGGAAAGGGACCCAATTAGGGTCAACATCAAGGCTCCAGGGAAGCAACCACTGGCTGAAACTTTGGCAAACAACACCCAACCGCTCAAGCGTGGCCAGTGGGGCCGAAAAAGCATCCGCGACCCTCTGCCACGGGCTGCCACGTTTGCCCTTGGACTGCTGCTGAACGTGGGCAACGCCTTGACTGATGACATGCTCCTCCTCCTCCTCCTCCTCCTCCTCCTCCTCCTCCTCCTCCTCCTCCTCCTCCTCCTCCTCTTCCTCCTCCTCCTCCTCCTCCAGCTCCTCAAGAGCTGAGCCGTTCCCCTCCTCGCCCACGGCGTCGAAAGCCACCGACCCCTTGCCGGGCTCCTCGGCCTCGAGGAGCGTCGGCAAGGGCTCGAAGTCGACCAGGCCCAGCTCCTCCGCGGTGGCGCTCGGCGCCTCTGCGGATCTCAGTCCGGGCGTGTTTCGGCGGCAAGCCGAGTGCTTTTCCCTCCCCTTGCCCCCGCGCGGCCGCCCTCGTCATGTTCCCTCGCTTGCACGCTGGCCAATGAGCCATTCTGTTGCCCCGAAATGCCACACGCTGGAGCGGACTGCCTCTGCCTCGCCGCCGACGAAAAAGAGTGTTTGGGCGGCAAGCCCAGGGGGAAGTGAGAAGGGGCAGGCCTTCATGAGACAACGCAAAGATCTCTTTCTGACTTATTGCTCTCCGGAGGCCAGGCCAGAGCGTACGGGTGAGCGCCCGGTTTGCAGCGATCGCACCTATAGGATTCTCCTCCGGCTCGGGCCGAGGCGACGCGAGGCGAGGCCTTCTCAGAAGGCGGCGGGGCTTCTCAGAAGCCCTCTGGCCTTCTGCTCAGAAGGCCCGAGGCATTCCGAGCCTTCTGAGAAGGCCCGCCCCCTTTCACTTCTCCCCAGGCTCGTCGCCGAATTTTTCCTTGACTTCGGCCTCAGGGGCCTGTCATCGGGCCCCGGGACCATCAAACACTGGGGGCGCAAGACTACCCCCGGGGGAAGGGGTCCCGAGCCTTGGGGCCGCGGATTGGTCAAATCACATCCGAGGACGTGTGGGCCCGCTCGGAGCAGGACGAGCTGAGACCACGGCAGCTCCAAGCCAGCTCCGGGACTCCTCCCGGGCTCCAGACGCACCAGTTTCCCGAGCCGCGTCCAGCCGTGGCGACGAGGTCCCCCCCCGAAGGCCGGCTAAGATCCGACGCTGCGAAAAATTTGAGCATCGGCTCCCAACTTCGCGCTTCGCGCTGCGCGAAGCGCGAAGCGCGAATAACTTCGCGCTCTCGCGCCGCCCTCCCAAAGGGAGAATAGGAGGACGAGGAGGAGGGGGAGAAGGAACGAGGACCGCGAAGCGCGAAGCGCGAATAACTTCGCGCCCTCGGGGGAGCCCTTGTGAAAGATCACGGCTGGAAGCCAACATACCCCATCTTTCTGCTGCCTGCTTCGACCCCGATCGATCCGTGATTGCCCCAGGACCCAAGGGCAAAATCGCCCGTCGTGCAAAAATGAAACGCCTCCTTCTCTTCCTCCTGCTTCTCCTTCTCGCCCCGAGTCGCCCGAGATCGCCCCAGGACGCTCAAGATGGCCTCCAGACGGCTCACGAGGACCCCAATACGTCCCAAGAGGGCTCCGGGCGGCTCCGAGAGCCGTCCCAAGAGGGCTCCGAGAAACCAAAACCATTGATTCACAATTGGTTTTTGGAAGATTTTAGCGTTCTCGGCTTGTGGGACTTTCGACGCTCCAAGACGGCGCAAGATCTCAGGGTACCGTTGTCTCAGCTCGCCGTAATCGATCCTTGATGGTCCCCGGGCCCGAAGCAAGGAAAAAAACATCCGATGCGAAAAAATCTGCAACGCGCGGATATCAGGAGCCTCCTCCTCTTCCTCCACCTCCTCCTGCTCCTCCTCCTCCTCCTCCTCCTCCTGCCCCTCCTTCCCCATCCCCTCTCCTTAGAAATACTTCGCCCCTGTCGCACCCCGAGACGTGTCAGTAGGGCGGGCCGGGCGTTTCGCGTGAGACTTCCTCCCCATTCATGATCCTGTTTTTTACAAATTACAACAGTTTGACGGATGGAGGGCGGGTGGCTTTCAAAATGTGGCTCTCGCTTTGTCGCCGCGCACATTCGAATTAAGAGTTTGCAAGAGCTTCAGCGATGAGGGCGGATGCTGTTCAGAATGCGGCTCTCGCCCTAGCGCCGTGCACACTCGTCTTAAGAGTGTGCAAGAGTTTCATGGATGGAGGACGGGTGGTTTTCAAAACATGTGACTTTGGCCCCGGCGCCACGCACATTCGTTTTTAAAGTTTGCAAGAGCTTCGCGGATGGAGGGCGGTTCTTTTCACAATGTGGCTCTCGCCTTAGCGCCGCGCGCATTCGTCTCACTAGTTTCTACCAACTTCAAGGATTCTCGTGGTTGACGTCCCAGAAACGGGGTTTTGGCACGATCTTGGATTGTCAGGGCGCAACAGTCATGCTGATTCGCGGAGTTGAAGTCTCAGGAAGGATGTGCTGGCACGATTCAGCACCGTCAGGACTCACCAGTAACGCTGACTCGCGGCGTTCCCAAGAATGGTGTGTTGGCACGGTGGGTGGTTTTGAGAAGCTTGTCTTCCCACGGCGCAGTGAAAACCAATCCTTGCAGGGACCCGTGCAGAGGGAACTTGGAGGGAGGGCTTATTGAATCGCTTCGCTCATTCCGCCGGCCCGTATTGTGCCATCGCGGGTTCTTGGGGGGTCTTGGGAGCCCTTGGAAGCGTCGTGGGAGCTTCTTGGGAACTTTGGGAGGCCTCGTGGATGGCTCTGCAGGGACCTGTGCAGAGGGAACTTGGAGGGAGGGCTGATTGCAACAGCGTCGATGCGTCTTGGGCTTGTGCTCCTCCTCCTCCTCCTGGCCGCCACTGCGACGCCGGGATCTCAGGGCACCGTCGTCTCCGCCCGCCCTCCTCCGAGCCGCGCCCTCTTTCCCTCCCCCGAGTGCCGCCTCGAGCTCGGGCAGCGGCTCCCGGTCCATGGCCCGGTCGGCCTCCTCCGCGGCGGGCTCTGGCGTGGTCGTCGTGGAGCGAGGCGGGGCCTCGGCTGGTGCTTCTTCTTCATCTTCTTCTTCTTCTTCTTCTTATTATTATTATTATTATTGTTATTATTATTATTATTATTATTATTATTATTATTATTATTATTATTCGTCTTCTTCTTCTTCGTCTTCTTCTTCTGCTCCTTTTTCCCAGCGCAACTGCTGGGGATGAGGAGGAGGGGCAGGAGCCCAGACGTCCCCGGCGTCTCGACGAGATCGAGGCGGAGGGCTTTCCTCGATCTCGGCTTCTCGGGGCCCTGCCTGGGCCTCGGGAGAGTTCCCAAACATGATGGGCCCACGAACCCGGAAAGGGATATAGACATGTGCAGCATGGTCACGTTTTCACGATATCCAACTGGGCGACACCTCACGAAACATCCCACGAGACACCCCGCGAAACATCCCAGGAGACACCTCACGAAACAACCCACGAGACACCTCACGAAACATTCCACGAGACACCCCGTGAAACATTCCACGAGACACCCCACGAACAGGCAACCACTCAACCAGACACCCCACGAAACATTCCACGGGGGTGCGCCTGGGTGTGGTCGTGCTGGGGGTGGTCGAGCGTGGTCGTGCTGGGGTGGGGTCGTGGGTGTGGTCGTGCTGGGGTGTGGTCGTGCTGGGGGTGGTCGTGCTGGGGTGTGGTCGTGCTGGGGGGTGGTCGTGCTGGGGGTGGTCGTGCTGGGGCGTGGTCGTGCTGGGGCGTGTCGTGCTGGGGTGTGGTCGTGCTGGGGTATGTCGTGCTGGGGTGGGGTCGTGCTGGGGTGGGGTCGTGCTGGGGTGGTCGTGCGTGGTCGTGCTGGGTGATGGTCGTGCTTGCTGGGGTGGGGTCGTGCTGTGTCGTGTGGTGGGTCGTGCTGGGGTGGGGTCGTGCTGGGGTGTGGTCGTGCTGGGTGTGGTCGTGTGCTGGGTGTGTGGTGCTGGGGTGTGTCTGGGGTGGGGTCTTGCTTGGGGGGGTCCTGTGGGGGGGTCTGTGCGTGCTGTGTCGTGCTGTGGGTACGTGCTGGGATGTGGTCGTTCTGGGGTGTGGTCGTGCTGGGGTGTGGTCGTGCTGGGGTGTGGTCGTGCTGGGGTGGTCGTGCTGGGGTGTGGTCGTGCTGGGGTGGGGTCGTGCTGGGGTGGTCCGCGCCCTGTGATTTATCGATCGGGTCGTGCTGGGGTGTGTCGTGCTGGTGCTGGGGTGTGGTCGTGCTGGGGTGTGGTCGTGCTGGGGTGTGGTCGTGCTGGGGTGTGGTCGTGCTGGGGTGTGGTCGTGCTGGGGCGTGGTCGTGCTGGGGGTGGCGGGGTCGTGCTGGGCTGTTGGTGTGCTGGGGCGTGGTCGTGCTGGGGCGAGGTCGTGCTGGGGTGTGGTCGTGCTTGCTTTAGGTAAGGTCGTGCTGGAGGTTGGTCGTGCGGGGGTGTGGTCTTTCTGGGGTGGGTCGTGCTGGGGTTGTGGTATGGGGGGTGGGGTTTTCGTGCTGGGGTGTGGTCGTGCTGGGTGTGGTCGTGCTAGGGTGGGGTCGTGCTGGGTGGGGTCGTGCTGGGGAGTGGTCGTGCTGGGTGTGGTCGTGCTGGGGTGTGGTCGTGCTGGGGCGTGGTCGTGCTGGGGTGGGGTCGTGCTGGGGTGGGGTCGTGCTGGGGTGGGTTCGTGCTGGGGTGCTCCGCACCCTGTGATTTATCGATCGGGTCGTGCTGGGGTGTGGTCGTGCTGGGGTGTGGTCGTGCTGGGGGGGGGTCGTGCTTGGGTGGGGTCGTGCTGGGGTGTGGTCGTCTGGGGTGTGATCGTGCTGGGGTGTGCGTGGGGTGTGGTCGTGCTGGGGTGGTGGTCGTGCTGGGGTGTGGTCGTGCTGGGGTGTGGTCGTGCTGGGGCGTGGTCGTGCTGGGGCGTGGTCGTGCTGGGGTGGGGTCGTGCTGGGGTGTGGTCGTGCTGGGGTGGTCCGCACCCTGTGATTTATCGATCGGGTCGTGCTGGGGTGTGGTCGTGCTGGTGCTGGGGTGTGGTCGTGCTGGGGTGTGGTCGTGCTGGGGTGTGGTCGTGCTGGGGTGTGGTCGTGCTGGGGTGTGGTCGTGCGAATCTATAGGCACATACGTAACAAAACAAGCGTTTCGCTCGAGACATCCTCGGCAAACTCTGCGGAGCAAGCGTTTCGCTCGAGACATCCTCAACGCACGAAAAAGTGGCCCGCACCCTGTGATTTATCGATCGGGATTTCAAAAACAAGCGTTTCGCCTGAGACATCCTCAAATTTTAATTCGCCGGCCTCCTTCGACCTCGATATTTATAAGGGAAAAAATTCGCCGGCCTCCTTCAAATTGGGCACCGGGGACATGTTTACATACTAAAAGAGAACCCTGGGCCCGCGCCCTTTCCGGGAAAAACAGCTCGGGTCGAGAGTGCGGGCCCGTGTCTCGACGAAGCCGAAACGCCATATGCGCGGGAGGGGGCAATCGCGCACCGCCCATACCGTACCCGACTGCCCTCTTCAAGAACGGCAGGCGCATCCATCGGGCTGTCTTCCCCGAGGGCAGGGCCTTGGGGAACGTGGAGGTGCCGAGATCCGCGCGGGGCACGTTGAAGGAAGTCGATTGGACGCCGTCCCAGTCGCCGTCCAGGTAGTTGTTCAGCTGGTCCTCACTCATGTCCTTGCAGGAAAACATGATGGACCCACGAACCCGGAAAGGGATATAGACATGTAGAGCATGGACACGTTTGCACGATACACAACTAGGCAACACCTCACGAAATATCCCACGAGACACCTCACGAAACATCCCACGAGACACCTCACGAAACATTCCACGATACACCTCACGAAACATTCCACGAGACATCCCGCGAAACATTCCACGATACACCCCACGAAACATTCCACGACGACAGGCAACCACTCAACCAAGGCGGCGTGGTCGTGCTGGGGAGTGGTCGTGCTGGGGGGTGGTCGTGCTGGGGGGTGGTCGTGATGGGGGGTGGTCGTGCTGGGGGGTGGTCGTGCTGGGGGGTGGTCGTGCTGGGGCGCGGTCGTGCTGGGGCGTGGTCGTTGCTGGGGCGTGGTCGTGCTTCGGGTGGGGTCGTGCTGGGTGTGCGGTGTGCTGGGGTGTGGTCGGTGTGAGGTTTCGTGGTCTTGCTGAGGTGGGGGTAGTACAGGTGCTGGGCGGGGTCTGCTGTCTTGTGGTAGTGATGGGGTTGTGGTCGTGCTGGGGTGGGGTCGTGCTGGGGTGGGGGTTCGTGCTGGGGTGTGGTCGTGCTGGGGCGTGGTCGTGCTGGGCTGTGGTCGTGCTAGGGCGCGGTCGTGCTGGGGTGGGGTCGTGCTGGGGTGGGGTCGTGCTGGGGTGTGGTCGTGCTGGGGTGCGGTCGTGCTGGGGCGTGGTCGTGCTGGGGCGGGGTCGTGCTGGGGTGGGGTCGTGCTGGGGTGTGGTCGTGCTGGGGTGGTCCGCACCCTGTGATTTATCGATCGGGTCGTGCTGCGGTGTGGTCGTGCTGGGGTGCGGTCGTGCTGGGGTGTGGTCGTGCTGGAGTGTGGTCGTGCTGGGTGTTGTGGTCGTGTGGGGGCTGTGGTCTGTGCTGGGGGTGTGGTCGGTGTGGGGCGTGTTGTACTGGGCGTGGTTCGTGCTGGGCTTGTGTCGTGCTGAGTTATTTCGGTGCCGCACCCTTGATTTATCGATCGGGATTTCAAAAACAAGGTTTCGCCAGAGACCATCCTCAATTTTTAATCCGCTGGCTCCTTCGACCTCGATATTTATCAGGGGAAAAAATTCGCCGCGGCCTCCTTCAAGTTGCACCGGGGGACTGGTTTACCCACTATAAGAGAACCCTGGGCCCGCGCCCTTTCCGGGACATGATGGACCACGAACCCGGAAAGGAGATATTGACATTGGAGGCATGGGCACGTTTTCTAGACGATACCCCAACTGGGCTACACCTCACGAAACATTCCGCGAGACACCTCACGAAACATTCCAGGAGACACCCCGCGAAACATTCCACGAGACACCCCACGAAACATTCCACGAGACACCCCTCGAAACATTCCACGAGACACCCCACGAAACATTCCACGAGACACCCCACGAAACATTCCACGAGACACCCCACGAAACATTCCACGGGGGTGCGACTGGGTGTGGTCGTGCTGGGGTGTGGTCGTGCTGGGGTGTGGTCGTGCTGGGGGGGTGGTCGTGCTGGGGGGTGGTCATGCTGGGGCGTGATCGTGCTGGGGCATGGTCGTGCTGGGGCGTGGTCGTGCTGGGGTGTGGTCGTGCTGTGGTGAGGTCGTGCTGGGGTGTGGTCGTGCTGGGGGGTGGTCGTGCTGGGGGGTGGTCGTGCTGGGGGGGTGGTCGTGCTGGGAGGTGGTCGTGCTGGGGAGTGGTCGTGCTGGGGCGTGGTCGTGCTGGGGCGTGATCGTGCTGGGGAATGTGGTCGTGCTGTGGTGAGGTCGTGCTGGGGTGTGGTCGTGCTGGGGTGTGGGTGCTGGGGTGGGGCCGTGCTGGGGTGGGGTCGTGCTGGGGTGGGGTCCTGCTGGGGTGTGGTCGTGCTGGGGTGTGGTCGTGCTGGGGTGGGGTCGTGCTGGGGTGGGGTCGTGCTGGGGTGTGGTCGTTCTGGGGTGTGATCGTGCGGGGGTGTGGTCGTGCTAGGGTGGGGTCGTGCTGGGGTGGGGTCGTGCTGGGGTGTGGTCGTGCTGGGGTGTGGTCGTGCTGGGGTGTGGTCGTGCTGGGGGGTGGTCGTGCTGGGGGGTGGTCGTGCTGGGGGGGTGGTCGTGCTGGGAGGTGGTCGTGCTGGGGAGTGGTCGTGCTGGGGCGTGGTCGTGCTGGGGCGTGATCGTGCTGGGGTGTGGTCGTGCTGTGGTGAGGTCGTGCTGGGGTGTGGTCGTGCTGGGGTGTGGTCTTGCTGGGGTGGGGCCGGGCTGGGGTGGGGTCGTGCTGGGGTGGGGTCCTGCTGGGGTGTGGTCGTGCTGGGGTGTGGTCGTGCTGGGGTGGGGTCGTGCTGGGGTGGGGTCGTGCTGGGGTGTGGTCGTGCTGGGGTGTGGTCGTGCTGGGGTGGGGTCGTGCTGGGGTGGGGTCGTGCTGGGGTGTGGTCGTGCTGGGGAGTGGTCGTGCTGGGGTGTGGTCGTGCTGGGGGGTGGTCGTGCTGGGGGGTGGTCGTGCTGGGGGGGTGGTCGTGCTGGGAGGTGGTCCTCAGAATTCAGGTCCCCAGGAGAGGACAATCTATAACACAAAACAAGCGTTTCGCTCGAGACATCCTCACCATTTTCTGAAAAACAAGCGTTTCGCTCGAGACATCCTCAAATTTTAATTCGCCGGCAATTCGCCGGCCTCCTTCGACCTCGTTATTTATCAGGGAAAAAATTCGCCGGCAATTCGCCGGCCTCCTTCAAGCAGGCACCGGGGGACTATGTTTACATACTAAAAGAGAACCCTGGGCTTAAGCCCTTTCCGGGAAAAAAGGAAAGACGGTAATCACAGTCGCCTAAGAAAGACTGGGCGCACTCTTCCTCAATCCTTGAGGGTCCTACAGGGTGTCCCTGAGCTTCTGTGGGTCCCTGGGGTCATCAGGGGATGATGCATTTCTGTGGGGCACCTGCTGGCAGGCCGATTTCTTCCTTGACATGCCTACTGTCAACATGAATCGCGTTCGGAGGTCCGCGCGGACTTTGCGGATCGGCGCTGGACCACCCCCGGCTCCCCTCTTGGAGCCCTCTTGGGGCCGTCTTGGGCCTCTCTTCGCCCGTCTTGGGCGCGTCTTGGGCCGTCTTGGGGCCCTCCAGAGCCGTCTTGAGGCCCTCTTGGAGGCCTCTTGGGCTGTCTTGGGGTGTCCGCGGGGGGCCTGTGAGCCGTCGTGGAGCGTCGGAAAGCTGAAAAGGCGGGAAAGGCAAAATGTATCCAAAACATGCGTAAAGTTAACGATTTTGGCCTCTTGGGGCCCTCTGGGGGTGCCTCTTGGAGGCCTCTTGGAGCGTCTTGGGGGGCCTCTTTGGCCGTCTTGGGCTTATCTTGGGCATCTTGGGCCCTCTTGGCGCCCTCGTGGGCCTCTTGGAGCCTGCTGGGCCTGTCGTGGAGCGCTCTTGGGGCACTCTTGGGCCGCCTGGGCTGCTCAAGGGAGGGTCCAGGCCCCCCCCGTCCCCCCAGTCCCCCCATGGGGGGTCGGGGCACCTGTCCTGGGGCCCCCGGCCTCGCCCCCAGGGATATGTGTGTATATATATATATATATATACTAGTGTGGACCCGTGGATTAAATCCACGGAGTTGCGCGGATCGAAATTTGGTTGCGAGTGCTGGGTTGTGCGACGCTGCCAGCTACTGCCGTAGATCCCGTGAAGCTTGTTCTGGTGCTGTTCCCCCACTGAGCGCCGCCAATGCACCGAAGCGGGGGCCGAAGTGTTCGAGCTTCGCAAGAGGCAAAAGTTCAAGAGACCAAGCCAGAGCAGCGTTGGAAGATATGCGTCGGGATCGCGGCGGACGCGGGAGCGGGTCGGGTCAAACGCGGCGCCGTCTCGGGCCGCGTCGGAAGCGTCGGAACGGCGTCGCGGCAAAATAGGGAGCGCAGACGGGCAGCGCCAGGGCCACGGGAGTGTAAAACATTGTTCTTTTGCGCCTGCGAAGGGCCTCTCGCCTCTCGTCCGCCCCTCTCTCTTGGAGGCAGTTTTGAAGCCTCTAGGGGGCCGTTTGGGAGCTCTATGGGGGCTCTTTTGGGCCTCTTGGGGGCTCCTCGGGGCCCTCTTGGGCCGTGTATGGCGCCTCTTGGGCCGTCTTGGGGCCGTCTTGGGCCACCTTGGGCGCCACTTGGGCCGTCTTGGGGCCATCTTGGGCTCTCTTGGGCTCCTTTTGGGCACCTCTTGGGGTCCTCTTGGGCCGTCTTGGGCGCCCCTTGGGCCATCCTGGGGCCGTCTGAGCCATCTTTGGGCCCTCTTGGGGGCCGTCTTGGGCAATCTTGGAGGCCTCTGGGGCTGTCTTGGACGCTTCGTAAAGGAAAATGTCGAATCTGTTGAAATGTGCATTTTACGAAGGGAATGTGGCCATTTTTGCTTGATGGAGCCCTCCTGGGGGAGCCCTCGGACCCCCCCAGAGCCGTCCGGGGGCGTCTTTGGGGCGTATGGGGCCGTCTGGAGAACATCTTGGGCCGCCTGAAAGCCGTCTTGGGTCGTCTCGGGGCCTCCGTAAGCCGTCTTGGGTTTTTCTGGGGAGCTCCGACGCCGTTTCGGACCCCTCCGGGGGCCTTCCGGTGCCGTTTTGGAGCCCCCGGGAGGCTCGGGGAGCCGGGGGCCCACGCAAACCCACAAGGCCTAATTCGAATTTATTTGAATGGGTATATACATATACATATACATATACATATGCATATACCTATACCTATACCTATACCTATACCTATACCTATACATTTACATATACCTATACCTATACCTATACCTATACCTATACCTATACCTATACCTATACCTATACCTATACATATACAAATACATATACATATACATATACATATACATATACACATACATTTACATTTACATATACATGTATATATACAATTACATATACATATGTACACTTCTTTGCCACGCGATTCAAGTCAACCCAGCAATTCTAACCATGCTTTGCGCAAGGGTTTGGTACGTCGTCAGGGTAATTAATGTACGCCCTCCGCGTAAATGCCGCGCATTCGCCTGGAGGGCGATGTTGATTTGTGGTGATTCTAGTGGGCTTCGTGGAGACTGCATTATGCGGAGTTCTCGGAGCTCTGGGCCACTTCCCAGGGATCAAATCTTCGCCCTGGATCGCCTTTTGACGGCCCTGGGGCCCCGCGAAGGCCCCAAAACGCCGAGAACTACGAACATGATGGACCCACGAACCCGGAAAGGGATATTGACATGTGCAGCATGGTCACGTTTTCACGATACCCAACTGGGCGACACCCCACGAAACATCCCACGAGACACCCCGCGAAACATCCCACGAGACACCTCACGAAACATTCCACGAGACACCTCACGAAACATTCCACGAGACACCCCGTGAAACATTCCACGAGACACCCCGTGAACAGGCAACCACTCAACCAGACACACCACGAAACATTCCACGGGGGTGCGACTGGGTGTGGTCGTGCTTGGGTGTGGTCGTGCTGGGGTGTGGTCGTGCTGGGGAGTGGTCGTGCTGGGGAGTAGTCGTGCTGGGGGGTGGTCGTGTTGGGGGGTAGTCGTGCTGGGGGTGTGGTCGTGCTGGGGGGTGGTCGTGCTGGGGCGTGGTCGTGCTGGGGCGTGGTCGTGCTGGGGCGTGGTCGTGCTGGGGTGTGGTCGTGCTGTGGTGAGGTCGTGCTGGGGTGTGGTCGTGCTGGGGTGTGGTCTTGCTGGGGAGTGGTCGTGCTGGGTCGGGTCGTGCTGGGGTGTGGTCGTGCTGGGGTATGGTCGTGCTGGGGTGGGGTCGTGCTGGGGTGGGGTCGTGCTGGGGTCTGGTCGTGCTGGGGTGTGGTCGTGCTGGGGTATGGTCGTGCTAGGGTGGGGTCGTGCATTTCGCTCGAGACATCTTTCCGAAATTCAGCGAAATCCTAGAATAACAAACGAATTAGTCGAGACATCCTCGAAATTCCTGCGTGCGGGACGCGGCACGCGCGAGACATCCTCGGAATTCCTGCGCGAGGAGCGCTTTTCCGTGTCGCGGTCGGCTCTGCAAAACCAGCGTTTCGCTCGAGACATCCTCAACAAATTCTGAAACCAAGCGTTTCGCTCGAGACATCCCCAACTCTGCAAAACAAGCGTTTCGCTCGAGACATCCTCGACAAATTCTGAAAAACAAGCGTTTCGCTCGAGACATCCTTAAATTTTAATTCGCCGGCAATTCGCCGGCCTCCTTCAACCTCGTTATTTATCAGGGAAAAAATTCGCGGGCAATTCGCCGGCCTCCTTCAAGCAGGCACCGGGGGACTAGTTTACAAACTAAAAGAGAACCCTGGGCCGGCGCCCTTTCCGGGAAAAACCCTTCGTCGTAATCTGTTCAATGCGTTGGAATTCTGGGGAGAGGGGTGACCGGGAAACAAATAATGACATGAACTTTAAAGCTTTCGGAGGTCCGTGCGTATTTCTCGGATCGGAGCAAAACCCCCCTCCCTGGCGCGCAGAGCGCGCCAGGGGCGGCGCTGAAGGCTTCGCCAGGAGGCCCCAGCGCCGATCCGAGGAATCCGCGCCGACGGTGGCCGCCTGCCTCAACTGGACGTCGCGCGCGGCGGCACCGACAGCGCGCCCGGAGTCAGAATAGACAGGAGCTGCTGTCGGTCTTGGCCCCCATCCCTTCCGCATCCAGACATCCGGCGCTCCCACGTTTTCCATGCGTGGGTCGCCGGGGGGTCTGGACGATGGAGGCGGAGAAGACCTCAGAGACGGAGAAGAAAGGAGGAGGAGGAGGAGGAGGAGGAGGGGGAGGAGGAGGAGAAGGAGGAGTGCCCCGGACCAGCTCTTCGTCCCCGGTCCGTTTTTGGCGGCCCCCGGGCTCGCGGAGGGCCCCCAGGGGGCCGAGGATGGCCCAGACCTGCCGCTCCAGTTGTCCAGCCTGCAAGAAACACAGAAGCCGCAGTTGATGGGCGCGTTTTCCACCACCACCACCATAAGCTGGAGGGGGGAAGGAGGAGGACGAGGAGGAGGACGACGAAGAAGAGGAGGAGGAGGAGGAGAAGCAGTCCTTAGAAGAAGGAGCAGCGGCATGAGCATCAACTGTTGGCGCTCTGCGCGGATTTCTCGGATTCGCGCTGGACCCCCCTCCGTGGCGCGCGGAGCGCGCCAGGGGCGGCGCCGGAGGTGCGGAGATCGCCGCCGCGACCGGGCTTGAGGGCAACAGTCCGCGGATCCAAGAAAGCACGACGCGCGAGCGCCACAAAGTTTTATGATTTATGTGTTTTGTTCTTGCATTCTGGGTCCTGCGATGTTCCCGTCTATAGGATGGAAATAGCGCGTGATGGCTCCTTCGATACACTCGTGCATTTCCTTAACCTTTTGACCCCCTGTGTGTGATCCTTGCATCATCTGAGTTTGCAAGTCACGCTCTCTGGGCCGCTAAGGCCGGACCAGCGCGGCCAAGGAACCAAGAAAAATCCACGCGCGTGAGCTGCCAAAAGTTTATTCTATGTAGGGTTTTCTTTCTGTCGAGTCCTGTCCCCTGGTCGGCGCGGACGCCTGCCCCCCGGTCACGGCGCCGGGCCCGCGGGGACACCGACCAGGGCAGGTCGGGGCAAGGCCTCTCGCAGCCGAACCTGGTCCTGGAGGTACAAGGGACTCCTGCCGGTACGGCGAGCCCGAGCGTGTGGAAAGTGAAAAGTGAGATAGGTGGAGGGTTCGGCCGAAGGGCTTTGGCGAACATCCTTACGCTCTCCTCCCTCCTATATATGCTCCTCCCTACCCCGTCGCCTCCTCGCGGCCCTCCCTTCTCTCACTTCCTATCGCCTCCGCCTTCCGACCTTCTAGCTCCTTCCCACCTTTCGCCCTCGCGCCCTCCCTCCCTCCCTTCCTCCCTCCCTCCCTCCCTCACTCCATCTCCTCCTCCCTCCACTCCTCCTCCCTCCCTCCTCCTCATCTCAATCCATCCTCCTGACCTCCTCCTCTCCTCCTCTGCCCTCCGTCCTCGTCCTCCTCCTCCTCCTCCTCCTCCTCCCTCCATCCCCCACCTCCATACCATCCCCCACCTCCCTCTCGCCTCCTCACTCCTCCTCCTCCTTTCTCTCCTCATTCTCCTCCTCCTCCTCCTCCTCCTCCTCCTCCTCTTCCCTCTTCCTCTTCCCTCTTCCTCTTCCTCGTCCTCGTCCTCGTCCCCGTCCTCCTCCTCTTCCTCGTCCTTCTCCTCCTCCTCCTCTGGTCGCCTACGGCCCCGGGGGAAACCGCGCAGGAGAAGGCCCTCTCAGAAGGCGGCGGGGCTTCTCAGAAGGCTTCTGGCCTTCTGGGGCGTTCTATGTCTTCGGGGGAAGCTCAGAAAGCTTCTCGGAAGGATGGGGGACTTCCGAGCCTCCTGAGAAGGCTCGCCCCCCGTCGCTTCCCCTACAGGCGAGCCGCCGATCCTGGCGGAGGTGGGCGAGGTTCAGTGCTCGATGTTCGAGGTGTAGGCCGGCTGTCAATGTTCGAGGTTCGGTGTTCCAGGTGGTCGGTGTTTGATGTTCGAGGTCCGAGGTCCGAGGTTCGGTGTTCGGTGTTCGGTGTTCGAGGTTTCCTTACGTTACCGTCGGTTCTCGGGAGCTTTCCAGCCTCGGGGTGCCCTCGAGCGGCTGCGCCTCGCCAGAAGCCTTCCGGAGGTGCCCGGATCGCCCCGAACGGCAGCCGGAGAGACGACCTGGCCCGAACGCAAACAGGCGGTGCTGCCCTCGGAGGGCCAGTGGAGACAACGGCGGGCCTCCTGGTGGTTTTTGTTTCCGTCCTGTCATGGCGCTCCTGCAGGGGCTTCTCGCCGCCACGACTGGGTCCGCCTCGGAAGACGTGTCCGCACGGTCCCCGGGAGGGCTCCCGGGGCGGAGCCCCAGACAGGCTCGCGTCGTGGGAAATCGAAGCAAGACGTTTGCTCATCATTTCTCGGCCTCCGGGGGCCCTCGCCGGGCCTCGGGGCCGCCAGAAGCGACTCGGGGTGAAAAGCCGGCATCGGGCAAGGGGTCGAGACCTCTGCGGGCCCACTGCACCATCGTGCATGTCGGGAGTCCGGGCATGGGTCCTCGGGCAAGGGGTCGAGACCTCTACGGGCCCACTGCACCATCGTGCACGTCGGGAGTCCGGGCATGGGTCGGGACGGTCCCCGGCAGGAGTCCGGGGACCGATCTCGCGGGCGGAGTTGGGACGGGCGGGAGGGCCGCCGTCGTCTCGGTGGGCCCTCCTCCGATCCCGTCTGCTGCCCGCGAGATCGGGAGAAGCGAAGACTGGTCCCAGACCTCCTCGCGCTGGGGAAAGCAATGCGGCGGGCGATGCTTGATTCTGTGCGACAGTGCGGGCGCGGCCGAAAGAAACCCTCGCAAGGAACCCAACCCGCGCGCAGGGTGCACCTGAGGGGAAACCCAGAGCACCCTGAACGCATCAGCTGCTCCAACGGCTGCGGGAAGTCACCGCGCAGCGCGCTGAGCGAAGAAACCCAGGAAACCCTGACGAAAAGCATATGGTTTCTTGATGCGCGCCCCCACTGTATGTTCGGCCTCTTGGAGCCCAGGTCAGGCCCCGGGGCCGCCAGAACACGAGTCCAGGCGAAAAGCCAGTCCCTTGGGAATGGGTCGACACCTCCGTGGGCCCACGCTGTGAACATGATGGACCCACGAACCCGGAAAGGGATAAAGACATGTGCAGCATGGTCACGTTTTCACGATACCCAACTGGGCGACATCTCACGAAACATCCCACGAGACACCCCGCGAAACATCCCACGAGACACCTCACGAAACAATCCACGAGACACCTCACGAAACATTCCACGAGACACCCTTTGAAACATTCCACGAGACACCCCACGAACAGGCAACCACTCAACCAGACACGCCACGAAACATTCCACGGGGGTGCGACTGGGTGTGGTCGTGCTGGGGTGTGGTCGTGCTGGGGTGTGGTCGTGCTGGGGAGTGGTCGTGCTGGGGTGTGGTCGTGCGGGGGGGTGGTCGTGCTGGGGGGTGGTCGTGCTGGGGGGGTGGTCGTGCTGGGGCGTGGTCGTGCTGGGGCGTGGTCGTGCTGGGGCGTGGTCTGATGGGGGCGTGGTCGTGCTGGGGTGTGGGTTCGTGCTGTGGTGAGGTCGTGCATGTGTGTGTCGTGCTTGAGTGCCGCGCCGCGTCGGGGTAGGGTCGTGCTGGGTCGGGTCGTGCTGGGGTGTGGCGTGCTGGGGGTATGGTCGTGCTGGGGTGGGTTGTCGTGATGGGTGTGAGGAGTCGTGCGGGGTCTGGCAGTACATGGGGTGTGTCGTGCGGGCGGGAGGCTGGGGGTGGGATGTCGTGCTAGGGTGGGGTCGTGCATTTCGCTCGAGACATCCTGCCAAAAATTCCAGGAAATCGTACAAAAACAAACGAATTAGTCGAGACATCATCGAAATTCCTTCGCGCGGGGCGCTTTTCCGCGTCGCGGTCGGCTCTGCAAAACAAGCGTTTCGCTCGAGACATCCTCGGCAAACTCTGCGGAGCAAGCGTTTCGCTCGAGACATCCTCAACACACGAAAAAGTGCCCGCACCCTGTGATTTATCGATCGGGATTTCAAAAACAAGCGTTTCGCTCGAGACATCCTCAAATTTTAATTCGCCGGCCTCCTTCGACCTCGATATTTATCAGGGAAAAAATTCGCCGGCCTCCTTCAAGTTGGCACCGGGGGATTAGGTTTACCAACTAAAAGAGAACCCTGGGCCGGAGCCCTTTCCGGGAAAAATGTATGACGGCGGAGGTTTGGGCACTCGGCTCAAGCGTGATAAGTGAGACTCAAACTCTTTGTTCGCGCGCTTTTTGTTTTCGCGCTTGGGGAAAGGGGGGGTACCCATGCGAGTCGAAAGCCGACCCGGGTGAGCTGGCCCGAAGGCGCTGCACGGCGCAGTTGGGGTCCGAGCATATGGAGCGGAGCGCCTTGGCCCAGCTGGGCTTGCTCCAGCTGAACGTAGCGTCGCCACAGAGGAGGCCCAGTCCAGCCCGAGGCCCGCCGGATGGATCCCACTGGCTCCAGCTGGACCCACTCCGGCTGGGCTATGGCGCCGTCCGACAAAGACGACCCTGCGCAAGAGTGACCTTTGGTGCGCGGCTCCACCTCCTTCTCCTCCTCCTCCTTCTCCTCCTCCTCTTCCTCCTCCTCCTCCTCCTCCTCCTCCTCCTCCTCGTCGTCTTCATCCTCCTTCCCTTCCTCGTTCACCGCCTCCTCCTCCTCCTCCTGCTCCTCTTCCTCCTCCTTCCTCCTCCTCCTCACCTCCTCCCCCCCTACCTCCTCTCCTCGTCACTCATCCGCGGGCGCAGCGTGGGGGGGGGGGGGGGGCGGGGCAGATCCGAGCGCGCAGGCCGCCACCCTGAGATCCGACGGCGCATATAAAGCGGCGTGCAAGACTGCGGCCCACATCCCCGACCCCCATTGATGGCCCTGGTTTCCACCACCACCACCATAAGTTGGAGGGGGAGGGGGTCGTCCTCCTCCACCACCTCCTTCTCCTCCTCGTCCTCCTCCTCGTCCTCTACCTCCTTCCCCCCTCCAGCTTATGGTGGTGGTGGTGGAAAACAGGCCCATCACCCATCTTTCTGCCTCGTCTTCCGAGCTGCATCGGCCTGCGAGGGTCAGGCCCGCGCCTGGGCAGAGCCGCCGGCCGTGACAGAACGGCGGCGCCGAGATCTCGGGGAGCGCCGAGGGGGCCCTCTGCGGGCCCGCGCCGGGCGAGGCCACCCCGGCGAAGGCTCGGCTCAGGTCGGGCATGCCCCCCTACAGGGGGGGGTTGGATGACGAACTAGAAGCACCCCCAAAACATTCGAAGAAAGTGTAACTAATTATATGTTTTTTATATAAAAAATAAATAATAATATATAAACATGATGGACCCACGAACCCGGAAAGGGATATAGACATGTGGAGCATGGACACGTTTTCATGATACCCAACTGGGCAACACCTCACGAAACATCCCACGAGACACCTCACGAAACAGCCCACGAGACACCTCACGAAACATTCCACGAGACACCTCACGAAACATTTCACGAGACACCCCGCGAAACATTCCACGAGACACCCCACGAAACATTCCACGACGACAGGCAACCACTCAACCAAGGCGGTGTGGTCGTGCTGGGGAGTGGTCGTGCTGGGGTGTGGTCGTGCTGGGGGGTGGTCGTGCTGGGGGGTGGTCGTGCTGGGGGGGTAGTCGTGCTGGGGGGTGGTCGTGCTGGGGCGTGGTCGTGCTGGGGCGTGGTCGTGCTGGGGCGTGGTCGTGCTGGGGCGTGGTCGTGCTGGGGTGTGGTCGTGCTGGGGTGTGGTCGTGCTGTGGTAAGGTCGTGCTGGGGTGCGGTCGTGCTGGGGTGTGGTCTTGCTGGGGTGGGGTCGAGCTGGGGTGTGATCGTGCTGGGGTGGGGTCGTGCTGGGGTGTGGTCGTGCTGGGGTGTGGTCGTGCTAGGGTGGGGTCGTGCTGGGGTGGGGTCGTGCTGGGGAGTGGTCGTGCTGGGGTGTGGTCGTGCTGGGGTGTGGTCATGCTGGGGCGTGGTCGTGCTGGGGTGGGGTCGTGCTGGGGTGGGGTCGTGCTGGGGTGGGTTCGTGCTGGGGTGGTCGTGCTGGGGGGGTCGTCGTGCTGGGGGGTGGTCGTGCTGGGGCGTGGTCGTGCTGGGGCGTGGTCGTGCTGGGGCGTGGTCGTGCTGGGGCGTGGTCGTGCTGTGGTGAGGTCGTGCTGGGGTGTGGTCGTGCTGGGGTGTGGTCTTGCTGGGGTAGGGTCGTGCTGGGGTCGGGTCGTGCTGGGGTGTGGTCGTGCTGGGGTATGGTCGTGCTGGGGTGGGGTCGTGCTGGGGTGGGGTCGTGCTGGGGTCTGGTCGTGCTGGGGTGTGGTCGTGCTGGGGTATGGTCGTGCTAGGGTGGGGTCGTGCATTTCGCTCGAGACATCCTGCCAAAATTCCAGGAAATCGTACAAAAACATACGAATTAGTCGAGACATCATCGAAATTCCTTCGCGCGGGGCGCTTTTCCGCGTCGCGGTCGGCTCTGCAAAACAGCGTTTCGCTCGAGACATCCTCGGCAAACTCTGCGGAGCAAGCGTTTCGCTCGAGACATCCTCAACTCTGCAAAACCAGCGTTTCGCTCGAGACATCCTCAAGAAATTCTGAAAAACAAGCGTTTCGCTCGAGACATCCTCAAATTTTAATTCGCCGGCCTCCTTCAACCTCGTTATTTATCAGGGAAAAAATTCGCCGGCAATTCGCCGGCCTCCTTCAAGCAGGCACCGGGGGATTAGGTTTACCTAGTAAAAGAGAACCCTGGGCTTAAGCCCTTTCCGGGAAAAAGTCCCCGTGTTATTTGTTTGACAGTTCTGGAATACTTCTCCGGCAGAGGGACGGGCCCGCCTTCCGGCTCGGCTCGTGCGCGCCGCCGCTCCTGCACCTGCTTGAACGTGGCCGTGGCCCTGAGGCCCGGGTAGAAGTCCGGGTGCGCGGCGAGGCCCTCGGCGAGGCCGTAGGCCACGGCGGTGTAGCACCGCGTGTCCGGCCGCGCATCGGCGCACTCCCCGCTCGACTCCGCCTCCGAGGGGGTCTCCTCGCGGGCCGGGGCGCGTCGCCATGGGCATGAGCGCGCTGGGAAGAAACGTCGGGACGGGACGTTTCGGACTACTTTTGGGGGCCTCCGGGGGCCCCCACCAGGCCTCGGGACCGTCGAAAGGCGACTCGGGAGGAAAAGGGGGCCCTGGGGAAAGGCTCGGGGTTTCCGGGGACGGCCTACTCCTATTGAGACATCGCGTGTCTGGGTCCGTACCCGCGGCCTCGCGGGCCGAGCCCCTGGGCCGCGACGCGGCGGAGACCCGGCGTTCTGTTGGCGGCTGCCCCGCGCGGCGTATACCCGAAGGATGGCGCCCCCGGACTCCAGACCGCGAGGGCACGGACACGGAAAACTGCGTGTTCGCCGCTCGCGATCTCCTTCGGCACGGCATAGGGCGTCTGCTCGGGCTCGGGCCGCCCCTCGCAGGGCTTCGGGCAGTCGGACTTGCCCTGCGCGTGCAGCACCGCCTGGATCTCGTAGCTGGAGGAGCGGCGGCTGAGGTTGGGGTACCAGTCGGGGTGCCTCTTCGGCGGTGGACACACCTCCCCTTACCAGACCTCCCCTCGGTGAAAACGGCCTGGGACCGAAACCGACGGACCTGGACCCGCAAAAAGGACGGCCGCGACGCCCCCTCGCGATCCGAAAACGGCCAGTCCCTGAATCGGCGTGTCAGGGCAGGAGGTCTGTCCACCCCCGACCTCTCCAGGCCCTTTGCCTTCAGCCAGGCGATGGACTTGTGGCACCACTCGCCCTCGGCCGCGTCGTGGCAGCCCGCGGTGGGCACGGCGAGGAGGTGCGACCTGCTCGGCACCTGCCTGCCGCCGTCCTGCGGCTGGAGGCGCCCAGGGCTAGGTCGGGCCTGTCCCCCGGCAGGGAAATTGTGGACGAAAAATAAAACATACTCAACAAATACTCAAAAGATGCCCAAATATACTCAAACATGATGGACCCACGAACCCGGAAAGGGATATAGACATGTGGAGCATGGACACGTTTTCATGATACCCAACTGGGCAACACCTCACGAAACATCCCACGAGACACCTCACGAAACAGCCCACGAGACACCTCACGAAACATTCCACGAGACACCTCACGAAACACACGAGACACCCGGCGAAACATTCCACGAGACACCCCACGAAACATTCCACGACGACAGGCAACCACTCAACCAAGGCGGTGTGGTCGTGCTGGGGAGTGGTCGTGCTGGGGTGTGGTCGTGCTGGGGGGTGGTCGTGCTGGGGGGTGGTCGTGCTGGGGGGGTGGTCGTGCTGGGTGGGGTGGTCGTGGTCTGCTGGGCGTGGTCGTGCTGGGGCGTGGTCGTGCTGGGGCGTGGTCGTGCTGGGGCGTGGTCGTGCTGGGGTGTGGTCGTGCTGTGGTAAGGTCGTGCTGGGGTGCGGTCGTGCTGGGGTGTGGTCTTGCTGGGGTGGGGTCGTGCTGGGGTGTGGTCGTGCTGGGGTGTGGTCGTGCTGGGGTGTGGTCGTGCTAGGGTGGGGTCGTGCTGGGGTGGGGTCGTGCTGGGGAGTGGTCGTGCTGGGGTGTGGTCGTGCTGGGGTGTGGTCGTGCTGGGGCGTGGTCGTGCTGGGGTGGGGTCGTGCTGGGGTTGGGGTCTGGGGTGGGGTCGTGCTGGGGTGGGGTCGTGCTGGGGACATCCTCAACAAATTATGAAAAACAAGCGTTTCGCTCGAGACATCCTGTCAAAATCCCAAGAAATCCAAATACCCGCGCGCGGGACGCGGCACGCGCGAGACATCCTTGGAATTCCTGCGCGAGGGGCGCTTTTCCGTGTCGCGGTCGGCTCTGCAAAACCAGCGTTTCGCTCGAGACATCCTCAACAAATTCTGAAACCAAGCGTTTCGCTCGAGACATCCCCAACTCTGCAAAACCAGCGTTTCGCTCGAGACATCCTCAAGAAATTCTGAAAAACAAGCGTTTCGCTCGAGACATCCTCAAATTTTAATTCGCCGGCAATTCTCCTTCGACCTCGTTATTTATCAGGGAAAAAATTCGCCGGCAATTCGCCGGCCTCCTTCAAGCAGGCACCGGGGGACTAGGTTTACCCACTAAAAGAGAACCCTGGGCTTAAGCCCTTTCCGGGAAAAACACTCCCCACACTGTTGTTTTGAACTATTTTTGAGAATATTCCCCCTGTGGAGGGACAGGCCCGACTTAAGGCCAGGGGGTCTGAACTCGATGTGGCCCCAGAAAAGCTGCCGGCCCCGTCGGCGTGTGACGGGCTTTTCCGTTCTCGTCGTCGTCGTCTGACTACATACCAAACAACCCCAACCCAGCCCGAAGACCCGAATCTCGAGTTGGGGGGGGGTACGGGCTTCATATGTGTTTTCTCGATGTTCCCCGACCCCCCCCAACTGGAAATGGAGGGCAAATCGGGGCCTTCGGGTTGGGTTGGGGTGGTTTGGTGGGCGGTGATCGTCGTCGTCGTCGTCGTCGTCGTCGTCGTCGTCGTCGTCGTCGTCGTCGTCGTCGTCGTCGTCGTCGTCGTCGTCGTCCGCCTCCAGGGTCGGTCGGTAAAGGAGGGGCGATGGAGCCAAATCCCCTCAGGATCGGTCCCCGGACCCCTCCCGGGATCCATCCGGACACGTCTGCCACGGGCCTCTGAAGGCCCGAAAACGGCCCCCCTCGAGGCCGAGGGAGGCAGAACGCCGCCTCGAACGGAGCACCTCGGACCTCGCCCGCCCCCCCCCCTGCTCGCCGGAACCGCCCCGAGATCCAACGGCGCGACCAAAATTCAGCCGTCGGGCAAAGTCATGGCCGGAACCCCCGACCGCATCTCTCTGCGCCCCTCTTCAGAGCCTGGGCGAGAGCGCCCGGCTCCAAAGATAGAGCAAGGAAGAACGCCAGAGCCATAAACTCGTGGCGCTCCGCGCGGACTTCTTGGATCTGCGCTGGACCCCCCTCCCTGGCGCGCGGAGCGCGCCAGGGGCGGCGCCAGAGGCGCCGCCCGCTGGGGGGGGGGGGCCGTGCGAGGATCCAAGACATCCGCGCGGAGCGCCGGAGAAGTTTATGTCTATGCCGTCTCCTCCTTCTGCGGCGAACAACGGAGGCGCCAGGATCACAGGGCGGGGCCACCTCGGAGCCCCGGCCCGCTCCCAGCCTCCAGCTCGATCACCTCGCTCGCCTCCAGGGCGCCCTGCTCCGAGAGGCACGGCCGCGGGCACCCGGACTTGCCCAGGCGGCTCAGCAGGTCCTGCACCTCCCGGAAGGTGCTGCTGCGGCCGTAGTCGGGGTACCTGGGGAGCTCTGACCCCAGGCTCAGGTCGGGCACGTCCCCCTACAGGTGGATTTTGGACGAGAAACCAAAAATAGTCAACAAATATCCCAACATGGTCAAAGCTAGACCAAAGATCGTCCCCTGACTATTCTTAGACTATTTTTGAATACTCCTTCCTCCCGTAGAATGACAGGCCCGACTTAACCCCAGACCCCCGACGTTGTGTTTTTTTCACAACGTCGACCCCCAGAGGTCTGGACCCATTCCCCAGGACCGGTATTCCATCCTGAACCGTTTTTTCACGGTCCCGGGGCCCAGCGAATGTCCTTGGGGCCGAAAATAATCACACCTCCCGTCGCGATTTTTTCACAACGCGAGGAGGTCTGGGACAGCGGGACTGGGCTGCGGTCGAGGGGCGGGACCGAGAGGAGGGGGGGGGGAAAAGAATCGCTGAGATCGACAGGGGCACGGAAAGAATGGGAACGAAGACTGACAGCAGTCCCTGCCCACTTTGCACAGGACTTG